CAGGCGTTGAGGACGGAGTAGGTTATCTGATCATCCCCAGGAGAGGTGTCTTTTCTAGAGCGACGAGCACTGTCAAGCTCGAACTGTGTGATGGGCTGATCAGTGGGGGCAGGGGAGGTAAGAGCAGCACGAACAACAGGCTCAGACGCATCGATGCGGGCCTGCACTGCCTCCTGCATTGGATCTGGAAGTGCCTCAGGGGAGGAAGCTCGTGCCCAGTCCTCCATTAAAGAGCAGGCAAGGGAGCCGGGGTCAGGGTGGGGAGGAGGCCTCCGTCGAGTACCCTGTATAGCTTTAATCCGATTCCATACACAGGCACGTCTAAGGTGCCACTTCACACATTTACATACATCTCATTTAAATCAGTTGCTGAACATTTGTCTATGAAAATCAGTATTATGGGTCAGATTAATTTATTAAGTCTATTGTCTACAATCTAAACAATGTACGAGATTTCAAGTCAATAATGAAATTTATGTCAAACACACAAGCTGATAACGTCCTTTCTTACAATGTCATCAAAAACTGAACAAGGGCCTACTGATAGTTCACCGTTAGACTTTAGGGCAATAAGAGAATGGCATTTTCTTTCAAAAGATTAATTACTTTCATAAATATAAAACTGACAATAATTTCAATATAAACAGATTCTCTGATGCTTGGGAATTAAAAGTACCAAACTTCAGTAGCAATTAGAAACTCAGGGCGTCCCCAAGAACAATGTCAGGACTCGCCACTTACACTGCCAAACTCGACACTGAACTTACATGACAATTTTATGAAAAGTAAATGCAGTTGAAGTTTTCAACATCACTCACAATGGATTTTGAATGTTTCATCTGTAAGTAGACATATCTAGCTTAATGTAAAACATACGCATTCAGTTAGACTTTCAAATCTGAAAACATCATATGAGATATCAAGAGATATTTGTCTCGCAGTGGAACACGAGAGAAAACGGAGGTTTTGGGTGTACTAAGGCGGTAAGAAAACGGACGTCCCATATGGGGTACTCAATAATAAAGTTATAGCAACATGTTTTGTGGGCTATTGAGCGTAATATGGATCATTTGATTTTACGTTAACTAACATGTTCGACCACACCCCACAAAATACAATGTATTTAGCAAATGCTGCAGCTACTGAGAATGGAGTTGGGCCGGAGTCACTAACAAGAGCAGAGACGTTACCGAGAACAAATTCCAGCTTGAAAGTCATGTACACTAATACTGAGACGTTCCTTGATAAGAGAGAGGAGTTTGAAACACTACAGAAGGTACATCAACCCGATATAGTAGGTGTTGTAGAACTGTTGTACAAAAACAGGAGAATCGACCCAGTTACCCTGAGAGATTGGAGCGCCTGAACTTGCCTAGCTTATAATACAGACGGGCAAGGGGTGACCTAGTTGAGGTGTATAAGCATCTCAAGGGGCACTACTCAGTCGAGTGTCCTTACTTGGAGCTGGCGGACGCTCGCCCCACAAGGGGTCACAGCTCAAGATTGAAGAAGCCGCAAGTCCAGAAAACTGAGGGCAAACTTTTCGGAGTGAGGGTTGTGAACTCTTCGAACATTCTACCAGAAAGTGTTGTGACGGCACCGAGTGTGAGCTCTTTCAAGACAAGACTTGACCAACATCGGAGCGGGTTCAGGCACATTCAGGAGCCGGTGCATGCCCAGTACTTGCCAACAGTGTGTAACAGAGACGTGACCGATCGCCCAAGCGGCTAACGAGCCGATCTTTTGGTGAAGAGGATAAAAGAAAAGGAAAAGTAATCAGAGACGTGACCGATCGCCCAAGCGGCTAACGAGCCGATCAGTGGTGAAGAGGATAAAAGTAAAAGTAAAAAGAAAAGGATAAAAGAAGTGTAGGCGGTTGCACTTGGGACATATCACTGGCAAGGAGGCGTATCATGTCTCAACGGGCCGAAGAAACTGCATTGAGACTGAATGTGAAAAGGACCTAGGTGTGTATGTAAACAAGGAACTAAAGTTCTCGGGCCATTGTGAGAAGAAGGTGAATCAGGCAACTAAATTATTAGGTCATGGTGCACTACTTTACATACTATGCTGGTCTGGCTCACTGGTCTATAGTTATTCGTGGAGTGACGATCACCCTTCTTGAAAATAGGACTCATAATCCATTTTCCAATCACTGGGGACCTTTTGCTCATCTGGAGTACTGTCACCCCGTCTGGTCCCCGAGATATGCTAGGGACTGTCAGTTGGTTGAAAATGTTCAAAGGAGGGCCACCAAACTGGTGCCTGCACTTCGGCACCTCAGTTACCCTGAGAGATTGGAGTGCCTGAACTTACCTAGCTTATACTACAGACGGGCAAGGGGTGACCTAGTTGAGGTGTATAAGTAGAACAGGATCTTCAGGGGCTCGGCCAGCTCGTTGCTCAACTCTCTTAGCACTCTCGGATGCACCATGTCAGGGCCACTCACTACATAAAGCACAAGAACAAAATATACCATACAGAAAAATTAGGTCAAATAAGAATGAGCCAAGGTGGATGACCAAAAAACTTAAACATGACATAGGAATAAAGAAAGGAATATATAAGAAATTAAAGGGAGGGGAGGAGCAGCTCAGAAATAGGTATAATGAACTATGTAGGAATGTTAAAAAGAATGTAAGGAAAGCAAAGAGAGACTATGAAATCAAAATAGCAAGAGAATCCAAGGCGAATCCCAAGGGATTTTTCCAGGTATATAGGACAAAGGTCAAGGACAAAGTTGGGCCTTTAAAGTCAGGAGGGGAGAAGTGATAAATGGCAGTGAAGAAATAAGCAAAGCATTGAACAGCTACTTCTTATCAGTTTTCACAGAAGAAATTTGCGATGAAATTCCAGAGGTGGAACTGATATTTAAGGAAAGGAAGAAGAGAAATTAAAGAATATCACTATCAGAAAAGAGGATGTTCTTAAGAAGATAAATAAACTAAAGAAAACAAAATCCCCAGGGCCAGATGAAATTTTCCCTCGAGTCTTGAAAGAGTGTAGGGAACAGATTAGCGGACCCCTCGTAAACTTATTTACAAAATCATTAGACACCAGAGTTGTGCCAGACTTGTGGAAACAGGCAAATGTAGTACCCATATTCAAAAAGGGAGACAGAGCATCAGCGTCAAATTACCGGCCGATCAGTTTGACATCAGTAGTGGGGAAATTTCTTGAATCAATTATAGCAGATAGCATCCGATCGCATCTAGAGAAAAGCAAATTAATCTACGACTCTCAACATGGGTTTACAAAGGGAAAATCTTGTCTAACAAATCTGCAAACGTTTTTTAGGAAAGTCTTCGAGGTAGTAGATAATGACGAAACTTACGATGTTATTTACTTAGACTTTAGCAAAGCATTTGACAGAGTACCGCATCAGAGGCTTCTGAGAAAAATTAAGGCTCATGGTATCGAGGGGAAAGTTTTAAATTGGATAAAATCATGGCTCACCGATAAAATGCAGAGGGCCAGCGTAGATGGTGTTAAATCTGAGTGGGGCCGTGTAACCAGTGGGGTTCCCCAGGGGTCAGTACTAGGCCCACTCTTGTTCATAATCTACATAAACGATCTAGATACTGGGATCAGCAGTGACATAAGCAAATTTGCGGATGACACCAAAATAGGGCGGCAGATTAATTCAGGGCAGGATGCAAATGCATTACAGGAGGATCTAAATAAACTGCAGGGGTGGTCTGAGAAATGGCAAATGAAATTCAACACTAGCAAGTGCAGCGTACTTAATATTGGAAGAACAAATACTGATAATGTATACAGCCTTAACAACATCAACCTAGAGAAGTCGACTTGTGAAAGAGACCTAGGGGTACTTGTAAGCCCGGACCTACGACCTAGAAAGCAGTGCGTTAATGTTCGAAATAAGGCAAACAGAGTATTGGGTTTTATATCTAGAGGTGCAAGTAACAAGAGTGCAGAGGTCTTATTGCAACTATATCTTGCGCTAGTCAGGCCGCACCTCGATTATGCAGTTCAGTTCTGGTGCCCCTATTATAGAATGGATATAAATTCACTAGAGTCGGTGCAGCGAAAAATGACAAAAATGATTCCGGGACTTAGAAACCTTCAATATCAGGATAGGTTAAAGAAACTTAACTTGCATTCCCTAAAAAGACGAAGAGTGCGGGGAGATATGATAGAAGTAAGTAGGTAGAAAAAAGAGAGGTCACCACGAGGTCAGGTCTTTTATAGCGGAGGTAGGCGTGGGTAGATAGTTGACCTCCGTCATGTAAGGCGGCGCTGGTTGACCTAGACCACGAGGCATACACTGGGGAATTCGCGGGGTCGGCTACTCAGCGACAAGCGTTTGTAGGGGAGGAATCCACTACAACCCTGAGTCCTTGACAATACACGTACGGAAGCAACAATTGTCCTATTTGACACTTTAATAAAAAATGTTACAGAACCATTCTTAAATACCATATTACCAAAATAAACGTACACTTTCCTTCTGCATGTCAAGCACAGATAAGATTACTGAGATTATTTCGTAATATAGTGCAATTTACAAACATTATCCTGCGCATGCGCATCCGCCATTGTTTTGAACATCAACAAAATACCTTAGTCTTCCTGGATAGATGTATATTTGTTCAATAAAACCCTCATAAATACGTTTATATTTTTTCGGCATATATGCATGAGTAAAACAAACAGGGGATAACAGTAAATCGAATCAACTAATAATAATCCAAGAAAGCCATTAATAGCTTACTTCCACAGAGGTCCTAATACATATCTTAGAAAAACACAAAATGTTCATATGTAGATTATAAGTAAAAATAATACATTCCAGCTGGTAATATGCCCTACTATACACTGAATAAAGACACAATATGAGTCTTACTTTGTTGCGCATCTCTCACCTCACCTGATACAAGATACAACACAATCGTCGAGGTCGAGGAAGAGTCTAAGGAGAAACTGTGGTGGTAAGCTCTCCATTGTTGCCCAAAAATAACTCATTGACACAGATTTATGCCCTTGTTTGTGTCAGCCTCGGTGTGTTAAGAACTTAGTGGTGGTGGAGGAAGGTCTAGCGTGGCCCAGGGAAGGAAGGGTGTGTGAGAAACAAGATAACAAACATTAATGTCTCCATGTTGTAAATTGCCGCCAGTGTCAATTGTAACCTGAATTCTAATAAATGGCATAAACCTCTTGATCATGACCTTTCTGGTTGGAAATGTTTTGTGTTGGTGATAGCAAGTTCCGTACAAGCTGATTTGATGGTATTTCTCTACTAAAATTCGTGGATGGAAAACTCTTGCTCGTGGAATTTAGTGCTGCCTCGACAATGAATATTTTATAAGCACAGGATACAGGTACTTGTAAAGCCCTTTCGTTATCCACCCATCACCTTTTTGGCGAGTTTTCAATCTGCTTTAGATGATTCTGACATTTATAACCAACTAAACATCAAGAAAACGTAATCTAACTGAAAAAAAAGTGATTGGTCTCAAGGATAAATATCAGAATCATCTAAAACGGTAAGAAAACTCGCGAAAAAGGTGATGGGTAGCTAATGAAAAATGATCGCCCTTTCACCCAAAATTCTCAAACCAATATAGATTCTCTAGCTCTTTTTCCCTTTCTAAATTGGTATTATATCAGTTTCGCATCTGGGATTTTTAACACATAAAATAGATCCAACCATTATTTAAGCAACTGTGAACTAAGTAACCAATCACTTTTACATTAATTCATAATTTTTATTACGTACTATAGTAAACAAACGGCCTTGAGTTGCCAGTAGTGTTTGAAGAATCTTGAACGAGACTGTGTGGAAAAGGTGATCTAATTTCTTTTATGTATATAATTTTATTTTATATTTAGTTCACAATTAAGATCACTTTATCTGGAGACCTGACGACACCCTCACAAAATATGACAATTGAGGATGACCTGATAACGAGGTTGACAAGTTCCACAAATATTTAAATGAGTTACTTAATGCACAAAAGCAGAACATACCATACAAAAAACACATGTCAAATAACAGTGACCCTAAATGGATAAATAGTTATTTAAAGAATATTATTGGACAAAGGAAGACTATAGGTAGGAGAATATATTGTGAAGTTTACCTCCAAGATTATTATAAGGTAGTGGCCGGTAGGGTTAAGACCGAGATAAGAAAAGCGAAGAGGAATAATGAACTGAAGGTACCAAGGTAGGCGGAGATAAACCCCAAGGAATTCTTTCAAATGTATCAAACTAAAACACGAGACAAGATTGGACCAATACCGGCGAGCTAACTGATAATGACGGAGAAATGAGCAATAATCTGAACAGATATTTTTCAACAGTTTTCACCGCCGAAAATTTAAACATGATACCCGAGGCACCGACTATATATGGTGGTCCCTCGGTTAACGAACACAATTCGTTTCAGAGTCGTTCGTTAACCGAATCCATTGTTTCAATGGGATATTGGGTAATTGGTTCCAGCTCACAGAAAAATATATGCAAAGTGAAAAAAAAAAGCAGTAAAGTACACTTACTTTGAGGTGTGTATGTAGAAGGCTCCTGGTTGATGATGATTATGGGAATTAGAAGTGGGGGTGGAGGAGAAGGGAGATGAGAAGGAAGTGGGGATGGATGAGAAATCACCTTTCAGTGGACCCATGCTTGATGCAGTAATTTCACCAATAAATTTTAAGTTCACTAGGTGTAATTCAAGAATATTTTATTTAAATCAACACTGCACTGTGCTATATATTATCAATATGTTAACCAAATGTCAGAATGACCAATAATTTTAATGTAAAAATGCAAAAATTTTCAAGACACCAACAAAATCAATGTTCACTGCACTGTAAACAAAGCCAAACTGATGCCTGGTGGCTGAGTCAAGCGGCTGATGGGCGCACAAAAAACTAGTTCCGTGTACTGCATATATTATCATTATGTTAACTAAATTTTAAAATGACTAATAATTTTAATATAAATAATGCAAAAATATTAAAGAGCACAACTTCCTTGCTATTTACTCCACTGGAAACGAATGTAAACATAGAACAGATTACTGAATTGGCAGACTAACCCATCAGCTGATGCTCACAACAAAGCGTGTTTGTCGTAAGGATTTCGTTAACCGAATTGAAGATCCTTATGGGAGGTAATTTGTTAATCGAACCGTTCGTTAACCGAGGGACCACTGTACAAAGATATTGAAGAAAATAGATTAAGCGAGATAGTAGTGACTAGTAACGATGTTAGTAAGCAAATAGACAAGCTAAAGCCTAATAAGTCACCAGGTCCCTGTGAGATAGTTGCCAGAGTATTAAAGGAATGTAATGTTTGTACTTTTATGCTGCTTTATATCATTGTACTTTTGTACTTTTATCATTCATGCAAAAGTAAACGTGTAAAATGTGTTCGTAAACCTAAGTGGTCCAAGTTGGCAATGGGCTGAGTTGGACTGTATTCGGCACTGCCCACCCTGGAATATCAAACAGAAAGATCTTACTATGATACGGTGCCATTTTACGTTTTTTGGTCGACGCGAGAGCAGCTGTCCATAACGAATGGTTCTTAAGCATACACTGAGCATCGGCATTGATCAAGCCCGGGCGGCGGAGTGTTTTGAAATACCTGTACTGTACGTCATTATGATGGCTGTTTACATCCTGGGATGTGACGTCACTGTGGCATTACTGCCGAGAAGACAAAGTAGTGCGCGCCTAGGCGCCTAATTGTCTATCAAACAAAGAATTTGCACAAGAGAGGATTATCATATCAGAACTCACTGATGAAAATAAAATAAGAAAATAAACAGTAAAACAAATAACTCGTCCGCAGGTCAGTCATCAATCTTAACCTTTAATTTTTTAAATCCTAGACGGTATTATTTTGGTTGAGACTATGTTCCCCCCTTCCCATGGCTTTTTCATGTGTAATGAACGAATTTGACCTTCATTTCTGGCACAAATCAATAGTTTCTGATATTAGCCCTGCCCCCCTACCATCTCAGAATCTACTGGGTAAAAATTAAATCAAGGTAAAGGGTGTTCAAAACACATCGAAAACCATTGGAAAACAAAACCCTAACCAACCTTACTGGGGAGCTCCACTGTCGTTTGATGTTTAGCTTTTGTACCGCACGGCGTTCGATGTTCTGGGTGTCTACCGCTACGTACAAATTACAAACGTACATAATAAAATGTTAAACATCTCGCTTAAACGTAATTTGCGCTAGAAACACCATTGAAAAAAGGTGTCTTAGAATTGTCTAAACTACTGATTATATACAAATATAAAATTCCCGAGATTCGTGTAGTGGCAACAAGTGAAATAATATCATTTGGGTTAGGATGGTTAGGTTACATTAACCCTTAGGCCCCAGGTGACATTCCAGAACGTCTGCCTATTCCCGCCACTTTTTTTTTAAGGTAGATTTTTCTCCATTTATCCCACGGGGGGGGGAGGGGGTGTACTGCCAGCAACAACCCTATCCCGGGGCTTAAGGGTTAAGTTTGGTTAGGTTTTTAGATTAGATTAGTTTTGATATCTATATACAGGGGTGACGAACTATAATTTTACCTCCTAGACAGTTTTTATCACAAAACTTCCAAGAAATTTACCATGCTTTAAAATGGAGGGGAAATGTGGGATAAAACTCGAGAAAGAACAGCAAACAAATCTTTGAAAATCTTACCTAACTTGTAAAAAGGTTTGAAATTGCTTTTGAGTTTGTGTCCCTCGTCTGAACACCAAAAACAACACCCACCACGTACTAAACACTGAAGACACAAATAGGGCAATCTTTTTTATTTCATAGTGGATATTTTGCCATGACCAGCTAAGTTCCTACTAACGATTTTTTTTTCTTATTTTTTTTTAGTTCACTTTGATCAGCGCACTCACAGTAAAATAGCATTAGGCGGAACTTACTGGTCATGGCAAAACATCCACTTCCTTTCTATGTTAGGATTTTTAATTTTTTACTTTTATCCCCATTGCCACTGATTAGCACGTACTGGACTTGTACTGGCTCCTGAATGTATCCATAACTGCCAGTGTTGGTCAAGTCTGCTCTTGAAAGAGTTCACACTCTGTGCCGTCACAATACACTCTGGCGGATTGTTCCAAGAGTTCACAATTGTCACGCTCGCACATGGACATAGCCTAAGTGTTTCAGAGTATGGTACAGTATTGCCTTAGGTGGTAGGAAAGGTCACCCGTGCAGTTTCTACAAGATCAACTAAAACTTAAGATTGTTTCGTTGGTTAATGTTGTCTGCTACCTGAAATAGATTGTTGAAGTAAGTGACTACTGTACAGGTAAACCTCGAGATACAATTGGGTTAGGTTCCTGTAAAAACCATCACAAGGTGAATTATCATAGATAGGGAACATTATAACTTGGGGTTCAATGGGATACGTTTCCAACCCGTCCCCAAACACACAAGTATCACCAACAAAAAAATTCCATCGGTACTACTATCAGTACAAAACACACAACACTCACCACATCCTGAAGAATAAACCTGGTAATCATCACATGTCCCCTTCGAGGCTAAGGGGCCTCTTGTAGGTTGAGTGGAGACGTCACTCTGACTCCCAAACAGCCTCTGGGGAGTCTCATGCTGCTTATAACTATGTCAAGCTTCACCTTGGAGACATGGTTGTCTTGGATGCCTTGGCCTTCCAGACATTTTCAAAGTTACACTGCTCACAATGATAGTGGCTGATGCTGTTCACATTTTCAAAACAACAGAGTCGACACACCTTAGTCACAAAAGCTCAGAAAATGTCACTTCACAGTCACCATAACACAGGTGCTGTTAGTGCTGTCCTCTCGCTATATACGAAAAACACCTTTGATAAGTACAATGTATTATGCTGGCTGATAATCGTGGAGCCATGCGATGGCTGGTTCATGATTGACAAGGAAGCAAACACGGCTATAGTGTGAAGGATGGCCGTGTGGCGGTGCGGGGGAAGATTACAAGTGAAGGTAGAGATGTGTCATGCATAGGGTTAAAAATTATTTCCTTATAAATTGTCACTGACTTCACATAGAAAAATAAATTTAATTGCTGGAGTCCTTGTAAGACAGCAATTAATTTTAGCATATTCAACCCATAGTTTGCACTAGAGACAAAAAAAATAATCAATGGATATCGTTAAAATGAGTTGTTTTGATCGTATATAGCGACATGATCTTAATTTGTGACCATCATTTAAGCGGAATACTATCGCTTCTCAGGATATTGTATCTCAAGGCTTACCTGTACTGTAGTACTAACTATTAACTGACCAACTCTTCCTCTCTGCTGTGTACTTAACCTATTTCAGTATATGTTATTTAATTTGTGATCCCTAATAATAACCTCTGTTCATTAATGGACTTTGTATTAACCTGTTTAGTTTATTTTGAAATGCTTCTCTAAAAGAAAAAAAATTGCCTTCCAGAATACTGGACCTTTCATCCAAAAGACAATACTGGTGATTTTATCCAGGAAACACCGACATCCATTGCCAGTATGGCAATGGAAAGCAAAGCTCCCCTGCGTGTAGTCCGCAGGGTGCAATTTGGTATTTTAAGCCCAGATGAAATTGTGAGTATAAATTTTAAATGTTTTATTAAAAGATTAGTTAGTGAAACATGTTTTGCATGTTCTTATTCAAATATTTGCTATAGATTGTGGCTAGAAATGTTGGTAAATCTAGTCAAATATTTTTTATGAAATTTTTTAATTGAAGCAGTTTTCATAACCTGGCCTAATAATTATTTGTTCTTTTTTTATTGCTGTGCTTCATGCTTACTCTGTTTAAACTAAGAAGTTTGATTGATTTTCAAGAAGAAATTAATGTTTAGTTTATAGTGATTAGCATTATCATAATTTGCAATATTATAATATGGCCGAGACTTAGAATTATTATGATTCACTTCTTACAATTTGCATTTCAGCGGCGTATGTCAGCCACAGAAGGTGGTATAAAGTACGCTGAAGTATATGAGAATGGGCGACCCAAGCTAGGTGGGCTGATGGATCCACGTCAAGGATGTTTAGACAGGAACACCCGGTGCACAACATGTGCTGGTAATATGACAGACTGTCCTGGACACTTTGGACACTTGGAGTTGGCCAAGCCTGTGTTTCACGTGGGCTTCCTAACAAAAACTATGAAGATTTTACGTTGTGTCTGCTTCTATTGTAGTAAACTTCTCTTTAATGCAGTAAGTATTCAGAAGAGATAAACAAAATTTAAATTACCAATATTGTACTGTACTGTATTCAAATAGACAGAACTGACAATTGCAAGGTTGTTTTTGTTTTTATCTAATGCTGTGGTCAAGACTTTGCTATACATTTTGAGGACATGGAGTATACAGGATGAACAACAAAGTTAGAAATTAAACTGTTTCTTTGGATAGCAAGTTCATTATTGACCCATACTTGTGCTTCCCATAATAAGCATTTTGGGGTCAGGATAATTTTCACCTAGATTATATTAGTTGCTTTACTGTACTAATGCTACATGGCTTTATTTAATTTCAGCAATATCCAAAGATTCGTGAAATTGTAACAAAGTCAAAGGGCCAACCTCGAAAGCGATTGCAACATGTCTACAACTTGTGTAAGGGAAAGATGATTTGTGAAGGTGGAGATGAAATTGATGTAAGCAAAGATCCAGAGGACCCCAACATGAGCAAAAAGGGAAGCGGCCATGGTGGTTGTGGTCGTTATCAGCCAAACATTAAGCGTGTGGGATTGGAGCTTGTTGCTGAGTGGAAGCATGTGAATGAGGACACTCAAGATCGGAAACAGATTCTCACGGCTGAGCGCGTGTATGAAATATTCAAGCATATTTCAGGTCAGTTAATGTCTTTCAATGGTTTAAGAGTTACTTTACAGTATACAAATTTCATTTCAGCTGCACCAGCAGCTCTTTGTAAACCAATCCTGTCTGACTGCTTGGTTAAGTGAACTTTTTGCTCGGCACACGGTGCCTGAACTCTTCCTGACCCAGCAATCACCAATTCTCTAATACCATTTCAGGAATAAATTCACTGAATGGTGATTGTGTATCATAAATTTTTATGCTTCAGGGTATTAAAAGAAATATTTTATGAATTCAGTAAAAAAAACATAATTCATATCCCTCAAATTTGAAATTACAGTGAACCCTCGAAGTTCTGGACTAAAAAGGGGGGGACCACCTGTCCAGAAAAGCCGATTGTCCGGATTTTCCGCCGAATAATAAATGATATAAGAAACACCAAAAATACAGTACTAATGTAGTGATAAGCAAATTACCGTAGCCAATTACCATATATAAACCAGGCATTTACCTATGATAACATAATAAGAATCATTGCATCATTACTAGAGTGAATGAAATAATATTCCCACAAACAACAATTGTTAACTCTGTTTATGTTTCCCACCTCCTAGGGCAACTGTGTCCAAGCAACTCATGGGTCAAGCAGCGCCCACAGGCCTAAAATATTCTTTACTCTGGTTTGGGAATATTTCTTAGGGAAACTTCTTGGAGGCTTCTTAGCCCAGAACCCCTAAATTTTTTGTCCGTTTCTTCGGAAATCCGGATTTCCCTGGTTCGAATCTTCAAGGGTTTACTGTACACATACTCATAAATTGTAATGTTTTGCTGTTGCGTTATACACTGTATATTAAAAAAGTTTTAAGATTTGTTGAAATTTTTAAATACAGTATGAGAGTCATTTAGAAATATTACTATACGTATATACAGTATTACAATTTTCGTAAAATTTTAGATTATGGGCGACATTTACAGATTTCATATACAGGGGGCCCCCAAATTTGTGTACAAAAAAAAATATATATATATATATATATATATATATACTTCATTTTTAGTCCATATAACATGTGGACTTTGAATAGTATGTACACACACACACACACACACACACACATATATTTACAATACAGGTAAAGGAAATTACTGTCTCTAGAACGAATGGCTCCATGCCCCAGCCTTGAAAATGACGGCAACTTTAAAACTACCCACAGATATTCTTGGGTATATTCTCACCCAGCTATTGCTGCACTGCCTACTTCAGATGTATGAACTTGAGTCTGTTACTTCGAACCTTTAGATTCATCGTAGTTTCATGTTCTGATTGGTACTGAGACAGTTTCAAATATCTGGAGCAGGCAGTGCAGCAATAGCTGGCTGGGAGAGTTAACTAACTTTTGGGTGAGACTGTACATCCAGGGTGTCATCCGCGAATAATAGGACCTCAAAATAAAAGTCCACGAACTTGGGGGCCCTCCTCAATATAAACAAATACTGTACGCGTCTTGGTTACAGTCAGTTCACGTTGGTCAGTCGTGGAGTGCACATCTACGTTCTATTGCGCAAGCTTTTTCCTCTTGTTTTTCCATCATTGCCCAGTGCTCGAGCGATTATGTCTGATAACCCTAAATCTGGTACAGTACTGGAGTTAGGAGTGTTTAAATTTTGATTGGGGCAAATAACAAAAAAGTTCCCCCCTCACTTGGAGGGTGTCCCTCATAATTTGTAAGGTTAAAGTCACTATTATTTCGAATTATGGGGTTTTCTGTAGTCTTTACCAGATAGTAGATCTTAAACGTCCATTCTTAACCCCTAGGCTTTGGGTTATGTCCTGTGACCTGTGTCTGTAGAGTTTCGGGTCACGACACATCGTTTTGATGTCGCGGGCCTGGCTAGATTGTGTTGCCAAGTAGGTATTTATCTTTCACTCACTCACACATGAGAGCCTCCCAGTCTCGTCTCAGTAGCTTCTCAACTTTTGTGATGTAGGAATCTCGTCCTTGGTCTTGACTCACTTCACCTTGTGTTTCTACCCCCCAATACAAGTTTAGTTTTGTCATCAATTACTGGCGTAGTGATAATGATTGTTAACAGTGTAAATAGTAATAACATAGTAAAACAAGTGTCCTGTACTTCATACTGCCTACAAATTAGTGTTGTTTACCTCGTACTATTGTGTCATACATACGCCACTTTACGAACATTCTCGACTCTTCCTAGCCCGTGTTGCCAACCTGCAGTAAGGACACATATTTATTTCTTGTTTATATCATGCATAACCAGTCAGTAAGACTAGATTTTTTTTTTTTTTATCCTGAATATGCCTGGGGGGGGGGGGTGCCGACAATAGCCCGAAGCCCAGGGTTAAGTGTGTAACAAAAACTGAAGGTCATGCAAATATACATTTAATGTTTGCATGTATGCATGACTGTGTATGAGAGGGAATGGCTGAGTGTAACTTAGCAATGTATCTCTTTTCACAACTCTTGTATCTTGTACTGTAAACACTTTAAGTAAAAATAAATTAGATAATACTTACCACAGAAGGGCAGTGTCTCTTTAAGTACAGTACAATATTATATTCTTGATAGTGGTACCTACTTATCTCTATCTGCCTGACTATTTGATTTTTTCTAGCCTAACTTCAGGTACCTACAAAAGTTTCTGTTCTTAATTGTGTGAACACAGGTTATAGTTTGTAGGCAATCATTGATTTTAAGAGTAAGGGCTCTTTGTAATCTAATTATTCCCTTGATTTTAACATGTTCTGATATACACACTGTACTGCCCATGGGACTGTACAGTGTATCTGGTGCAGTGAGAAGATTAATCATATTTCATCCTATAGGTTTACACCATAGACACTTGGCAGTTTCTTTGCATCTACAATTTCTTCGTCTCCTCCCTTGTGGGTGAGCATGTACGCGCCCTCATGCTATTACGTATTGGTTTTCTCTGTTGTTTTCTGATGTATTTTGTTATGTTTCATTACTTACCTGTACGGTATGCATTTATTTTCTATTTCTCAAGCCCCCTAATAGTGGTAAAAATTAAATCAAAGAAGTGTGTGCATGTGTTTTGTGAGAGTTCTATTGATCTTGTTGTTACACCTTACAAGACTTAATGAATTCTCTTTGAAGATTTAATTGCATTTTGTTTTCAGTCTTATAACACTCAGATGATATTATTTGGATGCTATACTAATTTAGTGAAGTAATGTGTGTATTAATTTTTAATATTTTAAGTTTAATTGAAGTAATTAGACTTTACTCGTCTTACTTTCTCGTGTTGTGCTGTCTAGTTTTGTGTGGTTTTAACATCATCTCAAAACCATTCATTCTCCCTTGTCTTTTGAATAGTAAGAATAACCATTTCATGGCTTAACTAAACAGACAATGTACTGGCTTAAGGCCAGCTTTTCCAGTAGTTAATCTTACCACTTATAAAAGTTAGATGCTTATAAAAAAAATTTGTAACTTGAAATCTAAACTGAATCTAAATATCTCTTAAATTGAGGACAAATCATAAGTCAGATGACCCCAAACCTAACCCAGCTATTAGGTTTTGGGCTCAGAACTAAGTGGCCTCACAGCTAATGGGATACCTTCTTATATTAGGTCCAATTCTAAAATAAGTTTGGTTGGGGGTGTTAGGGTTGAGGTACATTGGACTTGCAACCAAGAGTACTACAATCCACTGTAATTAAATAAGATATTTTGAAAAATAGTTACTTTCTAGTCCACTCTTAGTTCACCTTACAGTAAAGTATCTGTCAACTGAAAAGTTTGGGACCAAGAGGCTTTCATTGAATGGATTATTTCATAAAGTGGATACTATCATGTTCATGTGCCCAAGGAAAACATGTAATATACCATAGTACTGGTGTCAGTTTGTTTATACTTACAGTACAATCTCTCCACTTACGACAGGGTTCCATTCCGACGACCAGGTCGTAAGTCGATTGAGTTGTAAGTTGAACCGACGAAAATAATACGTATTATGTAATACAGTAATTGTAAAACTTACCTTTTTAATACATTAACTGAGTGGGAACCGACGTGGATGCTGTACACACGCAGCAGCCGAAGTTGTCATACGGCGTCATTAGACCTTACGACCAAACGTCTGGACTCGAAAATAATGTAAAATATTTTAACGTAATATAACGACAATGACCGTCGTAGTCAAGGAGAGACTATATTGTTAGTTTCCACAAATACCTGTACACTGACCTCATTATTCTCTAGCACTCATAGAAATATTAAGTCTACAAATAAGATTTTGATGTACAGTATTATTTTCGTGCACCCACCACATAACTTATTCCTCTAATTCACATGAAGATGAGTAGACTTTTCATGGAGCCACTGAATCAGTTGTAAAATAAAGTATTCTACGTATTCTTATATCTTATACTGTACTGAGAATGTTCAAATCTATAATAAGAGATATTTTTAAATAGATTTATCAGTTGACATACTTTATTGTATTCACCAGCCTGTTCACCACATTGTGTGTCCAGTACTGTATTTAGATGCTATAAATTGAATACAAAAAGAATTCAGAAATTACAAGGGTAACTTTTTTACTTCATAAGAACATGCTGTGGGCAGCAACCTTTTTCCAGTGATGAAATGTTCTACTATGATAATTATGCAAATACTGTACAGTATTGTACAAATTGTGTACATTCCCAGCAAATGCTTGCTGCAATTATTTTTATAACGAATTTCAACTTAATAAACAAGTCTTTGTTTAGTGTACTCACTGGGATTTTCAAATGTTAAATTTAATATGGCAGTCACAAATTTCAAAGTGTGGAATATTGTACGTGCTTATTCTCATAATCATGCTGCTGTGCATGAGACTGTACTTCATGTTGGAGAACCTCTGACATTTAATGGATTTTGGAAGTGACTGCTGCAATTTGGTCTTTGGTCAACAAAAAATTGGAGAAAACTTGTACAAAATCATAACCAATAATATGTGGCATTGTCTAATACACAGTATTTTTTATCAGATGAGGAATGTTACCTCCTGGGTATGGACCCTAAATATGCAAGACCTGACTGGATGATCATGACAGTACTACCAGTGCCGCCTCTCCCAGTGCGACCAGCTGTCGTCATGCATGGGTCAGCCCGTAACCAGGATGATCTTACGCACAAACTGGCAGACATTATTAAGGCCAACAATGAACTTGTGCGCAATGAACAAGCTGGTGCAGCTGCTCACATCATAGTTGAGAACTTAAAGATGCTCCAGTTTCATGTGGCCACATTAACAGACAATGACATGCCTGGAATGCCCAGAGCCTTACAAAAATCCGGAAGGCCGCTCAAGGCCATCAAAGCTCGTCTCAAGGGTAAGGAAGGCAGGATTCGTGGTAACCTCATGGGAAAGCGTGTGGACTTTTCTGCTCGAACTGTCATCACAGCCGATCCTAACCTTCGCATTGACCAAGTTGGAGTGCCTCGATCCATTGCCCAGAATCTTACCTACCCAGAAATTGTAACACCATTTAATATGTCCAAGTAAGTTTTATAAATATTGGTACCAAATCTATTGTAAACTCTCACTCAAAAGTTGAGACATTTTTGAGTTGGGACATTAATCATTGTCACCATTTAACATAATGTAAAAGGGGTCAGTTAAATTGTTTTCAACCTCTTGCAGATTTCTTTATTGTTTTCTCAATATTTTCTTCACTTTCGTCTTGAAAGAGTTCAGAACTTTTATTCAAATTTATCCTTTGGGTTGACATTAGGAAAGGTATCCAGCCCTAAAGCTTGACTTGAACAGGCCCATCCCCTGGTCTCTGCTGCATTTTCTGGACTGGCACTGTGGTGAGCCATCAGGTAATCATGGCTAATCCATGCAAGTGTGGAAAATGGCCATAAGTCATTGATGAGGGCTTATCATTCATGGGGTGAAGTGGTTTGTTTCATTATACAGTATTCATCTACTGTAATTGTATTTACATTTTGCATGTTATATACAGAAAACAACATGATTACTTTTGAGGTACTATAGGTTATTACCAAATATTCAGGGTTTTTTGTTCTGAGAGTAGAAAGTAAAGAAATTTGCATTATAAATGTTTTTGAACTCGGCTGCTCACTGCTATTAGACACCAGACTTTCTCATAGCATACTGTACTGTATAAAACCACCATTATATATGTGTAACAGCTTTTTATTTCAATAATTTATCTTCCATTTCAGGATGATGGAGCTTGTGAAGCGTGGTAACAACCAATATCCAGGAGCTAAGTACATTGTACGTGACAACGGGGCTCGCATTGATTTGCGTTATCATCCAAAACCATCTGACCTCCACCTTCAGTGTGGCTATAAGGTTGAGAGGCACATCACAGATGGTGACTTGGTTATTTTCAACCGTCAACCCACTCTGCATAAAATGTCCATGATGGGACACAGAGTAAAGGTAAGATGCTGACTTACAACTTGGCCACCTCTAAGCCCTCATTCGCCAAACTTATCATGCAGCGTATTTGGGTGAAACTCTCCCTTCATAACTGGGACTGGTTGGTTATATTGTAGAATTCTCCTGTGGTTGGCAAGGGTTGTGTCCAATGGGAAATGAAGGGTTTAGGGTATGACCCCTGAGAGACATAGTGTACTTAATGTTCTGTGATGTACAGCTCGAGTTTAGAAATAAGTAATGATTGTATAAAGTACTTGAAATAAATTACTGTATACTATACTAAATAATAATAATAGACAGTACACTGTGCATGTTATTAAAATAATAAATAAAAGACAGTATAATGGGTTGGTCACCCTGACACCAAGCCTGACCTCAACACATCCTCTAACAGTGTAAATATGCCTTTGAAGTATTTATACCCTACAAGGTTATAATACATAAATGTGTGTATAAATGATACAGTATAAGAAAAAATATTAATATTATTTTGACAATATAATACTGTACTGTACTGTATGTGCAAGAGCTGAACATATATAAGGTTCATATCTGGCAGCCACCAGCACTCCTCATCTAACCAAGAGCACTCACACTTGTGGATGTAGCTTGTTTCTTTGTGTTTATTTCTCCCTTTTTTCAGTGTTATTTGTTTGTGAGAGTGATTCATTCTCATGTTTGTGTTATTGCATATGTTTTAATTAACTATATTGATGGGAAAGTAAATGAAAAATATATTTTTCAAATATTAATTTTACACCAAAAAATAACACTTTCTCGATTAATTAATATACATAATTCAATTTGGTCAAAAAATGGTGTTTCCATATTGACTCCACTCTCATCTCTGAGTGTTGAGTGAGGACTACTGCCAGCAGAGTAGAAAGCCATTTGGTTTATTATATGAAGGATGATAATAAACATTGATTTAAAGAGCCAAGAAGGGAGAGGGTCTAGACACAGTAGATAACAAATTGTCATTTGAGGAACATAGACAATGAAGTTAATAAGACAAACCATTTGATAAACCTGATCCAGCTAACATTCCCAATATACAATACTGTGCTGGAATTATCCAGGAAACCGCACATACTTGAAACCGGATGCTGTGGTCAGTAATACATTGTACAAAATATAAAACATGAATACACAAAGCATTTAATGCAGCATTCATTAATGTTTTCGTTATTTGTGAGACCTAGCGGCACTCTATAACTTTATTTTAGAAATACTGTGCTGTGTATATACAAATTCATTGGAAGGTGTAAAGACTTGCTCACTCAGTCTTCAACACTTGAAGATGGGAAGATTATTAGTAGCTGACATTTTTTGGAAGACTCTGCATGCACCATTTGTGTTTTTACCAGGAAAGGTGAACCTACACTATATTCAAAGAAAATATTTATACTTTTATAATGTTTGCAACCCTTTTTAGCAGATTTAGTATGTGATGACTGGAAAAATGATGAACATTAATATACGGATGATCTGGATTTGTAGACTCCTGGGAGCAAGATAACTATGTTGATTTTCAGTAAGAAACAGATTACATAAGTCATATTTTTTAATATGCTTTCATGAGTATCTGTATTCCAGGTTTTGCCATGGTCAACCTTCCGAATGAACTTGTCTGTAACATCACCCTACAATGCTGATTTTGATGGAGATGAAATGAATCTCCATGTACCCCAGAGTATGGAGACTAGAGCTGAAATTGAGAACTTGCACGTGACTCCTCGTATGATCATCACCCCACAGGCCAACAAACCAGTTATGGGTATTGTACAAGACACCCTAACTGCTGTTAGGAAGATGACCAAGCGAGATGTATTCCTTGAGAAGGTGCTACATACATACCTTTTAATTGTAGAATACCATAATTACAGTACAGTTGCCACATGAATTAGTAGATTGATAAGACTAGAGCAACAGTCCTTCATCTGCATTACTTTTTTTTTTACAGCTGCCTTTCATTATAAGCTTGATGAAAATTGATTCTCCACTGTTATTATTGTCTCTTATAATTTGTATACTGTATAATTTTTTTATGATCAGTACCACTATAAATGTTAATGCTAGATACTGAAGTAATTATTCAGGACTTTGTATTCTTTGTAGTCCGAGATGATGAACCTGTTGATGTTCTTGCCTATCTGGGATGGACGTATGCCCCAGCCAGCCATTCTTAAACCCAAACCACTGTGGACAGGGAAACAGCTGTTCTCTCTCATCATCCCTGGTAACCTTAACCTGGTCAAGACACATTCCACCCACCCTGATGATGAAGATGACGGGCCTTACAAGTGGATATCTCCCGGCGACACCAAGGTACATTATTAACGTGTACAGTATACATATATATTGAAGATGAACATCTTGAGATATGGGTTTTCATCTGTCTGGGTGTCCCTAAACTCCTTGTATCACCACAGATGTATTGATAAACTATTTAGGAGCATGTACTATCATCGGAGGAAGTGTAAAACATTAAATTTAAGTCTGTCAAAAGTTATGGCCACAGTTGAAGGTCAAATGTTGAAAATGGCAATGCTACTTTTTCCTCTTGTTTATTAATTGAAAATTTTATCTTTATTTAGTAGGGGAATATAGGATTCAACTTTATCTATCCATCCATGTTTAACTACCGCACAAAAGGAGCTTTATAGATTTTCCTGTTAGGCACAATATTGAAATACCTTAAGAACTTCAGGGACAAGACAATTGCATCATTTATGTTGCAGTTAAAGCAAATATATGATTCAGTGGGCAGCGGAAAGAGATTCAAGGGTCTGAAATATCCTATCGCTTCCTAAATTGTGAGAATTGCTGTTATTATTTTTAGATATCCAAGCAAGGATCCTGTCTCATGGTGGGCAACATATATAAAGTAACTAACAAATGGTATGAAACATACTAGAATAGTATCTTGGGAGATAATATTTGGTGCTTTTGGATTGACTTTTTAGAGACTTAAGCCTCTTGTTTCTGTAATGAATGTATAAAATTTCTTCCCAATATCCTAGTCATTGCACTTCGTTTGGTACTTGTACATTGATTGAAGTGCATTCAATAGGTTCCTTCATACTTACAGATGCCTCATTCATGAACATTTTCATTTTATTTTAATTTTATTTATATTGATTAAAATTTTTCAGGTCTTGGTGGAACACGGAGAACTGGTCATGGGTATTTTGTGCAAAAAGACCCTTGGTGCTTCATCAGGATCCATGTTGCACGTTGCATGGATGGAATTGGGTCAAGAAATTGCTGGTAGATTCTATGGTAACATTCAGACTGTCGTTAATAACTGGTTGCTCCTGGAAGGTATGAGTATTGGAATTGGAGATACCATTTCCGATCCTGCAACATACCGAGTTATTCAGGATACCATTCGCAAAGCCAAGGAAGATGTGATAGAAGTGATCCACAAAGCTCACAACGATGAACTTGAACCTACTCCTGGTAACACACTGAGGCAGACTTTCGAGAATCAAGTAAATCGTATTCTCAACGATGCTCGAGACAAGACTGGTGGTTCTGCCAAGAAGTCATTGACAGAATACAATAACCTAAAGGCTATGGTGGTGTCAGGTTCAAAGGGATCCAATATTAATATTTCTCAGGTTATTGCTTGTGTGGGTCAACAGAACGTTGAAGGTAAAAGGATTCCATTTGGGTTCCGAAAGAGAACTCTTCCTCACTTCATCAAGGATGATTATGGTCCCGAGTCCAGAGGCTTCGTGGAGAATTCATACCTTGCCGGCCTGACTCCTTCCGAGTTTTATTTCCATGCTATGGGTGGTCGTGAGGGTCTTATTGATACTGCTGTGAAGACTGCAGAAACAGGATACATCCAGCGACGTCTGATCAAGGCTATGGAGAGCGTAATGGTAAACTATGATGGTACTGTGAGAAACAGTGTGAGTCAAGTGATTCAGCTCAGGTATGGTGAAGACGGCTTGGCTGGAGAGTACGTAGAGTTCCAGAAGATGCCAACCGTCAAACTGTCAAATCGCAGGTTTGAAGACAAGTACAGGTTTGATGTTACCAACGAGAGATACCTTCGCAGATTGTTTAATGAAGATGTTGTTCGTGAATTGATTGGATCGCCGGAGGCAATTAGCATCCTTGAAGGTGAATGGCAGAAACTTCAAGAAGACAGGCTTGGATTGCGATCAGTTTTCCCCAAGGGTGACACCAAGGTTAGTTTATATGTTTTACTTATGTATCTCAACCTTTGACTTGTTTGTCATATGAACATGTAAAATACTGATTATTGTATTAATTCAAAAGGATTTGGTAGCTGACCTATAACATAACATTATGAAATCTCTACAGGTGGTACTTCCATGCAACTTGGAGCGCATGATCTGGAATGTGCAGAAGATCTTCCACATTAACAAGAGGACACCAACAGATTTATCACCAGTCAGAGTAGTGGATGGTGTAAGAGAAATGTTAAACAAGTGTACCATTGTATCGGGTGATGATCGAATCAGCTTACAGGCTAACGAGAATGCTACATTCTGTTTCCAGTGCTTAGTCAGGTCAACTTTGTGCACCAAGAAAGTAGCTGAGGAGTATAAACTTACCAGTGAATCCTTCAACTGGCTTGTTGGTGAAATTGAAACCAGATTCCATCAAGCAATTGTGAGTATTAGTGTCTGTACAGTATAGTTGTAGGAGTTGTCCATTATATATTGTTTTACTGGGTCAATACAATATACTGGTAGCTATGTATTAGCTTACACTCAAATTACATACTATATAGCTCATGCTCTTGCAAGTTCTGCAATACTGATGCATTCTGTTTACGGTGTATATTTTAATCATAATTGACTTTTAATCTGCACTGTTTCATATTATAAGATGATACATTATTAACTGACTGGTGAAGCTTGAAAGAGTTTGTTGTAAATATTGAGATGACTATTGTATTGCATATTCATGAACACAAGTACAAGCAATGTATATTAGGTTTCTCTTGAGACAGACCATTTCACAACAGTTTGACTAAATCACAATATTTTTATTTATCAGGCTGCTCCTGGAGAAATGGTGGGTGCTCTTGCTGCCCAGTCACTTGGTGAACCTGCTACCCAGATGACACTGAACACTTTCCATTTTGCTGGTGTATCATCCAAAAATGTAACACTGGGTGTGCCAAGGCTCAAGGAAATCATCAACATCAGTAAGAAACCCAAGGCTCCCTCCCTCACAGTATTCCTCGTTGGAGCTTCAGCCAGGGATGCTGAGAAGGCAAAGAACGTCCTGTGTCGCCTGGAACACACTACCTTGCGTAAGGTGAGAACAATCCTTAAGATTATTTGTTGAAAGACATGAGTAGGAACTCATCCTAAAAGAATGTTTAGGGAATTAGTTTTTGGTTAAGATGGCGGGGATACAGTTACTGTCTGTCCAATAATATTAATAAAGGTTTCTGTTTAAGATTATTTCTACTGATATTGTCAACTGTAGTGCTGATACTTTGTTGAAGTTTTGTAGGTATAAACATCTTGTGGAAAGAATTTGCATTGGTTTTGATATCCATTGTTTGATTGAAAAGGCTTATGGGCTATTGAGATGAGTAGAGCATGTGAGAAACATGTTCATTACAGTGGAGGGATTAAATTGATGAATATTTCTTTGCCAAGAAGTCTTTTGTGGGAAATTTGACAGTGCTCTCACCTTGATTTGTTGTTTTAATTCATAAAATGACAAAAATGGTAATGCTGTCTTGATGGATTCCCTTAGTTTTCTTTGTTAATTTTATTATTTTTCAAACTTAAGACAGACTGGCACTCATTCTCATATATAGGATATTACAGAAATTTACATAAACTATTTACCTTAACTCATACAGATGCTGTATGATGTTTTATCTTTTGTTACCAAACTATAACTTATATTTACAAAAAAAAAAGGTCTGATATTGTGACAGTTTATCTGGACTAAAAATACCGAACTTTTTTCATAAACTGTATACCGAACAAATTTCGGTATTGAATGAATTTTTCGGATCTGTTTTATACCGAAAACCTTCCTATACCGATCTGGCTGCTCACCAATTATTTTGGTATAGAGAGGTAATACTGTAATGTTTCGGGATACAGTACTACCGGGGGGAGTTCTCCAAGATTCAAGAGGGTCTGAATTATGCATCTCACTCGACTCTTAACTATGCATCTCATCTCCCAGGGACAAACCCCCCATTACAATTTGACCTTGGGCACGAACGAAAATATTTACGGCTAACGAAAAAGTGTCTACAGTAAACTTTTATTCGTGGCTTCTGTTCTAATTTCTTAAAGTTTATGCTCTACACAATCTTACCCAGTACTTAAAACCCTCAAGTATCCCCGTTAAAGACAATGCCTACTTTATGTAAAAAAAAGTTCACGTAAATGAGTGTAGATAACGAGGTGCGGCAGACTGATATGATGCATATGAAGGCAAGACTTGACTGAGGCACATGCAGCATGCAGCACAACACCCACAAACAGACATTCAACTATATGTACGAACACAAACCGATGCTGGATTTTACAGACTTTTCATTTTTGGTGAATAGAGGAGTGGCCCAAGCACATCCGAAAGTCCGAAGAAAGCAAATTCAGGTGTTTTGAAGTCCAGTGTATAGAGGTACTACTGTATTAACAATTGCAAGTTTACTCAGTTTTCAATCTGCTGGTACAAAAGATAAGTTGTGTGTGAAAGGAAAGTGAAAATACAATTACTGGGTTTTTTTGTGAGAAGAGAGGGTGTACAGGAAATATTACTAATAATAAGACTGATGGGGAGCTGTTTTATACATTTCTCATATCCTAAATATACAGGTTTTGAAACAGGTATTTTTTTAGGAGGCAGATTCAGTAAATTCTTGAACTGTTAAGGACTCGGTGATAAGTAGCTACTGGTGTTCATTGTTTGTGTCGGGATTGGGTTTTTGGAAGTTTTGGTGCAATAATTCTGTCGTCCAAATGAAGATGCTCCAGCGTTAAGTTTTATTTTTTATACACCATTGTCACAAGTTATGGTATATATACTGTAGATATGGTACACCTATGCACTGTACTGTATTAATGAAATCTGTTGATTATTAAAAGGTAGAATTATGTAATGTCAACTTGGTTTTTACAGGTAACTTCCAATACTGCCATCTACTATGATCCAGACCCACAGAACACTTGCATTACTGAGGACCAGGAGTTTGTCAATGTTTACTATGAAATGCCTGACTTTGATGTATCCAGGATTTCTCCCTGGCTTCTTCGTATTGAACTTGACCGCAAAAAGATGACAGGTCTGTAATGAACACTAATGTTGTATATAACCTGAAAAGAGAAAGTAGGCAGCTTTTGTTATGAGTGCACATTAAAGTTAGGAATTTTATGTATTCAATAGTAAATATTGTCTGAAATTAAATCCAATAATAAAATTTTGAGAAGTTCGATAAAGTAGAATATTGTAATACATGTAACCTGTATCAAATATATTTTATCATGCAGATAAGAAGCTAACTATGGAACAGATATCCCAAAAGATCAACTCAGGTTTTGGAGATGACTTGAATTGCATCTTCAATGACGACAATGCTGAGAAACTTGTCCTTCGGATCCGTATTATTGTTGGTGATGACAAGCTGGCCGATGATGCTGAGGAACAGGTTAGTTCAGCACGTTCTTTCTGTTTTGTGTGCTATTTTCTAAGTTTAGGATCAAGGTCACACATAAAATGTCTCTAAACATTTGAGTTGCTTCCCCATATCTATTAATGTTTTATAATTATTAAATTATAGTACAGTATTGTCTTTTAATTTTCTTACTCATAGTGTCATTTAACTTTCTTACTCCTCAAATATACTACTGCACACTGTAAATGTATTTCATTACTTTTTATCACATTAATTATGGCAGTAGTACTGTTCAAAGTGTAGTGCCAGAAGACTTTTTTTATTGGTACCGGTACTGTACCAACAATACTTATACCATTACCTTGGCCATGTCTTAATTACTGTTTATGCCACAATCCCTCATCTACTTAACATTCAGTTACTAAAAGAATTTAGAAAAGATCTCACTTTTTATATATACTGTACAGTGCAGGAATACCCCAGTTATTGCAAGGGATGCATTCCTAAAAGTTCATTACACATCCATGTCATCTCCACTACACATCCACATCATCTCCACTACACATCTACTTCCTCATTATCCAAGGCTATTAGGGACTAGAGTCGCATGAGTACTGTAGTACCAGTAAATGTGGAGAATAAATAAAAAATAATACAGTAACCCCTCGTTTAACGAACTCAATCCGTTCCAGAAGGTCGTTCGTTAACCGAAAAGTTCGTTAACCGAAACCATTGTTTCAATGGGTTTTTTGGTAATTGGTTCCAGCTCACCGAAAATTTCCTAAATTAAACAAAAATGGTAGAAAAGTTCACTTACTTTGAGGTGTGTATGTAGAAGGCTCCTGGATGATGATGATGATGATGGGAATTAGAATGGGGGTGGAGGAGAAGGAAGAAGAAGGCATTGGGGTGGAAGAAGTCACCCCATGGCACCATTTCACCCATAAAATTTTAGTTCTCTTGGTGTAATTCAAGATTATTTTCTTTAAATCAACACTGCACTGCATTATATATTGTCAATATGTAAAATATATTTCAAAATGACCAATAATTTGCTTGGAAACACAGAAAAAAAGCATTTAGTTGAAGAGAGTCTCAAGCAAGATGTTACCTCCAGTGAAAACAGAGAGTGACTAACGCCTGTTTGCTGTGTTAAGAGGCTGGATGCTGCGCATTAAACTAGTCACTTTACCTTCAATTATGTTCAATAATTGTTAAAATGACTAAAAAATTGAATGTTAAACTTTTAAAATTATTGAATAGTATAAACTTCTTGATATTTACTAAAATAGTAAGGAATTTACGCCCTAGAACCGATTAATGTATTGGCGGACTGATACTAAAGCTGGTTGCCCGGTCAGTGCAAGCGAAAACATGTTGAGGTCGGTTCGTAAGAAATTCGTTAACCGAATTTTTGTTCGTTAACCGAATTGAAAATCCTTATGGAAGGCGGTTCGTTAACCGAAATTTCGTTAACCGAGGCGTTCGTTAAACGAGGGGTCACTGTACTAATAAATAAAAGAAAAGAAAAATGATTCATTGTCAGTTGGCAATAGTTTCGCTATACGCGGGAGACTGGAGCGACTGAAATCCCTTACACTCCTCCCTCCTCCCATGATCCGCGTGCTAACTCTCCGTGCATGTAAGAAATTTTTATTCCATTTATATTTTTGACCTTATTATAATCATTTCTTATATTTATTTATTTTTATTTTTATTCTTTATTTATTTTACACATACTGTATGAATGATTGTGTACACATGAAAAAATAAAATTAATACATGTATCTACCCAAAATTACAAGTTGGAGAAAAACAATACGTATTGCAACTCATAGCTTGCTTAGCCTGGTGGGGGGAGGCTGAGATACCCAATGCAGTACACACCTCCCATGATCTGTGCGCTAACTCCCACGGTCATAAGAAATTTTTATTCTTTTAGGTTTGTTTTTTTTCCACATTCTGTATAAAATATTGTATGTGCATGTAACAGAGTAAACATTAAATATAATTTCATACAACTACTTGAAATTACGAGTTGAAAAATAACAAAAACGGCTTGCCATGGTTGGGGGCAGAGCTCGGGGCTTGTAACTACAGGTACGCTCTAACCTGGGGACATGCCAAGGCCACACACATGGTCACGTCACACAAACACACCCATGCTCTTTATTTGTTGGTGTTAAAATATCAATTGCAAGGTATTCCTTTTTATGTACCATGGATCACTATGCATTTCTTTTTAATTCTGTAATCCAAATTTAGTACTTTCTTTAAATATATGCACCTGTACTGTATAAACAAGATAACAGGCTTTCTTGGTGCTAAGGGCAAAATCATTGTTACAAAAAAAATGTAAGTACCAAGTAGTTACAGTAATACTGTATCTCCGTTAGCGGGAATCCCTCAAACCCGGAACTCTGATAGCCGGAATTGAAATTTTTCCGGAAAATCTTTCTCAGAGCCGGAATTTTCAGGAAAATTCCGGGGATGGGGGAGTTTTTTCTGGGTTCAAGAGGTGATGTAATGGGCAACTAATGGAACTTCCTAGACAAATTTTCTGTTACCCGGAAAATTACGGGGCTGGGGGATTTTTTCCGGCTCTGAAAGAATCGTCTCATTAACTGGAAGTCACTCATTCCCACCAATTGTTCCTGCTAACAGAGATATCACTGTAATATAATTATCCAAGGGAACATAAAAAAAATTGTTTAGTGCTGTTTTAGAGGATGGCATCCTTGATCTAGGTTTAGTTACACAGTGAACATTAGATTATCCCATATTTTCTGAATTATAATTCTTAAGTAAAGATAAACAATGATGATGACTCTCTAGTTTGTCTTTATCAAACATTCCCTTTACAAATTATCCCCCTCAGATTTTCTTGATCCTAGTTCAGTTCAGTTGATATACTTCAGCTCCACTGCTTGACTTATGTTGGTCACTTACAATTACCGTCTCTCCTCGACTTAAGACGTGTTTCCGTCCCGACGACCAGGTCGTAAGTCGAGGAGAGACTCTATGGGCAGTTTTGCTCTTGGTGCACTTCTCTCTCTCAACTGAATCTTCCTAATTTATTTACTTTTGATTGTGTTCCAATATATCCAGTTTTTAACACCCTTACAATATGATCTACACACAGCAACATCACAGAATTTCACACACTGATTTATTTCAGAGAAAATCTATGTACCACCTTCATTATGATAATATGGAACAATCTTATGTTTCTACATCTTCAACCTTAAGCTCTTTACTAAATGTATCTTAGCATCTAAAACCTCTTCTGGTATCTACAGGCAGTCCTCGAGTTACAAATGGGTTATGCTCCTAGACCCTGTTTGTAAGTCAGAATAGTTTTAATTCTGCAGGTTAGGTTAGGTTAAAACAACCCTGTCCATACAAAACAATGATAATATTCCATACATAACAAATAATGTAAATACTGTACTGTAAATATAATGATGTTAAACAATATTTTACAGTATTGGGATGAAGTTCAAAGGTACAGGTGATTGTAAGTCATGCATTCATAATTCTGGGAGTCTGTATTGTGAATGTAACACAAAAATTGGTGATGGAGATGGTACTGCACACTTTTTAAGTAGGTTTTCTGTGCCCTTCTTATTTTGAATACTGTGCAGTACATTAAATGGTTTTTCAGTTTGTCAGAGCCACAGATCTAGGTAACCTTTTCCATCTAAAGGGAGCTACCCTTCAAAGGTGTTGAATAACATCAAGGGTGGTGGCTTTCAATAGTTATATATGTATTTCATAAAATGTATTTTTTATTTTTTCAGGTGGATAAGATGGAGGATGATACCTTCTTGAGGTGCATTGAGGCAAACATGCTGAATGACTTAACACTACAGGGCATTGAGGCCATCACTAAAGTATACATGCATTTGCCCCAAACTGATGAGAAGAAACGCATCATTGTCAATGACCAAGGAGAGTTTAAGGCTATTGCAGAGTGGCTGCTTGAGACTGATGGTACTGCCCTTATGAAAGTACTTTCAGAGCGAGATGTTGACCCTGTTAGGACATCCTCTAATGACATCTTGGAGGTGTTTGAAGTTCTTGGAATTGAAGCTGTACGAAAATGTATTGAGAAGGAAATGAACGCTGTGCTGATGTTCTATGGTCTCTATGTAAACTACCGCCATCTTGCCTTGCTTTGTGACGTAATGACCAGTAAGGGTCACTTGATGGCTATCACACGTCATGGTATCAACAGGCAGGATACTGGTGCACTTATGAAATGTTCCTTTGAAGAGTCTGTGGATGTGTTGATGGAAGCTGCATCCTGTGCTGAAGTGGACCCAATTCGAGGTGTGTCTGAAAACATCATGTTAGGACAGCTTCCCAAGATTGGCTCTGGATCATTTGACTTGGTATTGGATGATGCAAAGTGTAAGTTGGGTATGGAAATTCCCATGCCTGGAACGGGAATGATGATGGGTGGTGGTATCTTTGGAGCTGCATCTCCATCATCGGGCATGACACCTGCGCAGACTCCTTGGGCTTCAGGAGCTACACCATCAATGTCACCTTATGGTGCATGGACTCCTGGTGTAGGAAGTGGTATGACACCAGGTGGACCAGCCTTCTCTCCAGCTGCAGCCAGTGAAACTACAGGACTGTCACCTGGTTATTCTCCAGCTTGGTCTCCACAACCTGGCAGCCCAGGATCTCCAAGCTGCATGAGTCCATACTTCCCAAGTCCAGCCAATGCTTTCTCTCCCTCGTACTCGCCATCATCACCAGCATATCAGCCTACGTCTCCCAGCATGACTCCGGCCTCGCCAGGTTATTCTCCAACATCACCCACTTACAGTCCAACTAGCCCTCAGTACTCCCCAACCTCGCCACAGTACTCCCCAACCAGCCCATCATACTCACCAACATCACCATCATATAGTCCCACCTCTCCCTCTTACTCCCCTACCTCACCATCCTACTCTCCAACCTCACCTTCATATTCTCCAACTTCACCATCCTATTCTCCCACCTCCCCCTCTTATTCCCCTACTTCCCCATCTTATTCCCCAACAAGTCCGTCATATTCACCTACTTCCCCAAGCTACAGCCCCACTTCTCCCTCCTACTCCCCTACCAGTCCCTCCTACTCTCCCACATCTCCATCTTACTCCCCAACATCACCATCCTACTCCCCTACCTCTCCAAGTTATGCTCCCAACTATTCCCCATCATCTCCAGGTTACTCCCCAACCAGTCCGTCCTACTCCCCAACCAGTCCGTCCTATTCCCCCAGCTCTCCTCAATACTCTCCTGCTTCACCATCTTATTCCCCATCTTCACCCAAGTACTCACCAACAAGTCCCAACTATTCCCCAACCAGCCCCACCTACTCGCCTGGGTCACCCTCATATTCCCCCAGCTCACCCAAGTATTCACCCACAAGTCCAACTTACTCACCCACTTCTCCATCATACTCCCCATCCTCCCCAAAATATTCCCCAACATCACCCAACTACTCACCAACATCACCCAAATATTCTCCCACGTCACCGACATATAGTCCTTCCAGTCCCCAGTATAGCCCATCTAGCCCCAAATATTCCCCAACTTCACCGACCTACAGCCCAAGTAGTCCCAAATATAGTCCAACAAGTCCAACCTACAGCCCGACCACTCCAGGCTACAGTCCAACCTCTCCTCTGTACTCTCCAAGTTATGAAGAAGACGAAGAAGAGCAAAGGAGAAAGCAGAAGAAGAAATCAAAGCGTTGAGACTTATGACCTGGAGACTTGTGGTAGTTATTTTGTCATGTTTCTGATACCTATAGTGTAGCAGGGAAGGGCCTGAAAGACTGATAAGAAATCAGATCCTTTAATAGGGTGTTTTATCATTAGTTTACGTGTAACTAAGCATAAAGGGAGCAAGTTTGGTTTGCCTTGAAAGGAATATATATATATTTTTTGTACACACAGCCATCCTTTTCTTTTCCAATAAGATTCAGTTCTGGGTAATTGAGAACCAGAAGTGAATGGTGATTGAATACTACATAACTAGACAACAAATGAAAACAAATATATGTCCTCCATGACAACTAAGAATAATCATGTTGGTGCACCTAAAAAAATAAAATAATAATATTTACAGTCTAGACTACAAACATTGATAAGTTAATTCAGACACTGTATCTTACATATTATTACTGTATCTTACATATTATTACTGTATCTTACATATTATTTTACACCTCGGATGTAAAACATATTGATATCCTGGTGCACAAGTTCCTTTCTCCTTTATATTTTGGGAGAAAACTACAGTGTTTATAATTTTAAGACCAGTTTGATTTTTATGTACGTAATGTTAAACCAACTCTCGCCTAATCCGCTGGTTTAGGTTCAAACAGACTTCGCTGATTAATCGGTAGTATCTATGGAAAATGGGGTTATGTTCCTGCCAAAATATTAATCTTAAATTCTTTTGAAATCCTAAGTGATTATTGGTTTTACCTGAAATATTACCTAAACCTTACTGATTAAGAATGCAGTGTGATATAAAATTAGCAGTAAACAACTTAGTGGCCTGTTGGATGTGGTTCTACTTTTAAATAAAGCCAAAATATACCCCAGTGAAGGCAGTGTAGGCAGAAAAGATCACTTGGGATATTGTATTGCTTGATTAGAATGTCAATTTTGAGTGATATCTACAGAAGAAATTCTTACCTTGATGCAAAATTGATTTGTACTTCTCAGTGTCATCTACCTGCACAAGTGCTCAGTTTCTTGACCATTATATATTTGGATGCTGTTTTTCATAAATTATACACACTGTTGTTTTGTCACTCATTATTACACATTAAAAAAGTAATTGACATAATCGTAAGTATAGAATATTTTTTTGTGATGAAAAAAAATTTATTGGGTCGCAGTATAAAGTAATCATCCGTCCCTCCTCCTACCATACCAGTGAGCTCAAGGCCTTTTTACAGGACAGGTCACAAGGGGGTGAGGGAGGTATTAATGATGGGAGACCTAGTAGTGGCGGGCCTGGGTAAGGTAGGAAGGCGCATGTCAAGGACCACATACATAGTGAGAGTGTATGTGGTCTTGGAATTATTTAAAGCCTGAAGAAGGTGTTAAGGCTGGTGGATGTAGCTTGACATTGACAACCTTGATGACCCTGTCAGTTGATAGACCTAAAGCCCAAACAACCAACCAAGCAGGAGGGCGAGTGTCCGGGGAGGTGTTATATGGATGTAACTTTCCTTTAATTATCAATGCCTTTACTTGATATTCTGGGGAGGAATGTGAGTGAGCTTTTGGTGGGTAATGTGTCATTAGGGTTGATAGGCATCTGGCTTCCATGAAGGAAAGCCCATGATATGACAACAAAAGAGAGGAGTGGGCGTGGCTTGCTCACCACCGGTACCACGAAACGGGGTTATTACTTGATCTCTACCATTCTTGAAAAGAAAAAAAAAAATATATATATATATATATATATATATATTAATGGGAGAACAAATTAAGAATGAATTACACTGTACTACTTGATCACTTCCGCCTTTCGCCACTACCGTTATTGATAAACAAATTAAGAGTGAATGCTTTGATATAATTTGATTAGTCCACCCTTTTATTAGAGTTGTGAAAATCATTGCTTGTGTTTGGTGATGAGGTGGTAATGGCAATGGTGTTTGGCCACTGCATCACACCATACTCAGGTTGGACAATAAGGAACGTCAATTGGCGAGTCTCGGGCAAATTATCTGTTTGCACGTGGCAGGCTGCAACGTGTCAAAAATTGCAAGGGAGGTTGGGGTCACTGTGACGTTGGTTAACCGGCTGGGAGGAGTCTGAGAACTTAAATAACTGGGCGCCATGAGTATGTTTTATGGTTTGCTGGCATTTCATATATTAAAATGTCTAATTTCAAGTGTGTAATGTAGCCCAAATTATTTGAACACTTAATTCATATAAGTGATATAATTTTAGGCCAGGGAGACCCTAACTGATAGGCGAGGAGGACATTGGATGGGCTATTGAGATTTAGTATAACCTGCATTGGTAAATATTAAAAAATAAATGATTTCCACCCTTGTATTCAATGTTTCTCTTGTTATCAACATTATTATAAATATCTAATTACCGTATTTTAAAACCTGGACGTAAAAAAAATTAAATAAGGAAATGGATGGCAAATTATAATAAGGGGTCTCATCTACTACTCTTTCAAGCATATAAACCTAAGATAAAGCAGAATAGTGGGGGAAAAAGTTACATCCATCCATCTCTTCCTTCCTCCTTTCATGAATTGCTCTGCTTTCTTCAATCCCCTCTCTCGCCCCTGGGAGCAACTTCCATTGCATACCACACTCCTCCTCCAAGTCAACCATTCCCCTCTCCACCCCACGTGACTTAAGCTAGGATTCCACTCGCGCATTTGCAGAGCGTTTGCACTTTCAATCGCTACAGGAGGTGATTGGCATGTACTACAAATGCATAATGCAAACGTAACCGTTAACATTTCAGTGTGATCTATTTTTGGTGCTAATGCAACTGCTAATGTACGAATGGAATCCTAGCTTTACTGTGTAGAAAGACCCATCCAGGCACAGGGGTTAGGTGGTGGAGTGGATGATTACTTTTGACTTTCTGTACTTGAGCGACTTTCTGTACTTGAGCTTAGTGTTACTTTGGATGGTTATAAACATTACTTTCACCATTTTCTCTCTTTAACAAACATTACTCAGTATATTTAATGCAATTTACAGTGTACTTGAAGCTTGAAAATCTTTATATTTAATGGTATAATTTCTTCGTAAAAATACTTTTAACAACAAAAGTACGTATAATTTTAGGTACCGAGGTATTTTACAGCTTCGAACAGTAAAAGGGGCTATACTATATTATGTATTACAATTCATTGGACAGTTTGGTGAATCCCAAAAATCTCTGGATTGGATGGGATTTGCTGTACAGTAGAGTGTATAATTTTTTTTTATGAATCTTGAATTTTATGGAAAAATTTTAGGATTTGTTGGTTACGTTAAAATTGCTGGCCTCTTAATAGTCTGGTTTGGTATTGTTGGAAATCACAAAGTGAAGCTGAGGAAGTTTTAGTTATATATGCAAGAGCTTTTAGTTTATATTTATATGTGAAGAAATAATAAGTTTTGTTTTAGACTTTATTCATGAAATTTAAGAACAATGGAAATTTTCTTCTATAGTTAAAGCAGATTTTCATAGTAAGGTCATTTGATGACTTTGTGGATATTGTCCAGTTTCATACATTGCTTTCTCCTTGGATTCATGGTGACAACACAAGCACTAATTAGAGTGTAGTGTTGTTTTTCCTGTTTAATATAAAACATTGGAATACAATATATAAAATAAAATACAAAAAAATTGATATTCAGTTTCATTATCCTATTCCTGTACAGTACTTATGATTTTGACATATGTAGCTATATTGTGTACTGTACGTACAATAATAAGTACTGTACAGCATGAATTTAATATGAAGAATCTGTCCCCCTCTCACAGTGCAGTTTGAATGGTTAAGCACAACTTCAGACTTTGTACCAATTTCAGTTGGCAGCCATCAAAATATGGGCATGTTTTGTAGTCTATTGCAGCCATGCTTATATCAAGACTGCACCTGGTTACTGCAGATCATCCATGCAATTTTGGTGGCCATCTGTGTGTCATGGCTCAAGTTAATAAGATTCACCCATTCATCACCAAGTAGGCACAGGGATAGGAAAATACATATATTTATTATAATCACCTTACAAATTCCTATTGATGCTTCCTTTTATAGGTAACATTTCAAATAAACCTATCTGTTACAGGCACCTAGTCATAAGATGCACCAGTCATAAGAGGCCCCAGTCTTAAGAGGCTCCAGCTATAAAAGGCCACAGTCAAAATACGGCCAAGTCATAAGAGGCCCCAGTCAGTCATAAAGCCCAGTCTTGAGCAGACCCCAGTCTTGATAAGGGCCCAGTCAAGGCCTCAGTCATAATAAGGCTCATTCATAAGAGGCCCCAGTCATAGTAAGGCCCAGTCATAATAGACCCCAGTCATAATAAGGCCCAGTCATATGAGGTCCCTGTCATAATAAGAACCAGTTAAAAGAGACCCCATTCTTAATAAGGCCCACTCAAAAGAGAACCCAGTCTCAATAAGGCCCAATCATAAGAGGCCCCAGTCATAAGACCCATTCATATTAGGTCCCAGTCTTATGAAGCCCCAATCACAATAATATCTAATTTCAATAAGCTCCAATCACAATAAACTCCCATCACAGAAGGCTTCAATCACAACAGGCTCCAATCACAATAGGCCCCAGTCATAATAGGTCCCAATCATAATACCGTAGGCTCCAACGTAATCATTGTGACGAACCCCCATTGGGACTAGGTACCCTTCTTAAGGATTTGATTAAGTTTGGTTAAGTTGGAGCCTCTTCGAACCAAGACTCATCTAACCTGTTACCTAAACAAAGCTGCAAAGATAAGGTGATGAGGATAGGGAGAAGGATGATGAAGCGGAGGGAACTAGAAAAAAGCGATTACACTGTCGCAACATGACGAATAAGTTGTTAATGATAAATTCCTCGGTTCAAGATAATTACGTTTTCCGGTCACCATTTAGGGGTAACTGACTACTGTATTGACGTACGAATCACTGGTCTGACCATAGATTCATACACGCACGGCCAAATTTATTGCTATTCATATTTAAATCAAATGGTCCAAATCTGTTTTGTTAATATATACGACCAAGCTTGGTTTATTTATTTATATCGGTACATAATTCTCAAACTGATATTATTACGTGTGTTCAAATCTAATGAGCTCAGTGTTTTCGACTAAACTTGCTATGTGTACAGATTATATTTCAAAGCATTTAAAAAAAAGGTATTGTACTTCCAAGACTATATTGTGACTACGTATTTAGAAGCCTATTTTGTGAACGTCTTACCAAACTCTCTTTCGTTGTAACATTCACGTAACGTCGGTAATACCCACTAGAAGATCCATCAGTACACCAACATGGGACCAAGGTCTCCAAACTGTCACAGCTTTTTTTTTCTGTTCGTAAATGAAAATAAATAAAACAACTCGCATAAGATATTAGAGACGAAATTATCCGTCAACTTCGCTGAAACCTGATGTGTTGTGTCTTATCATTATAAACTGGTGACGAAATTACCTTTAGACTCTAAGACTCTAAGAGAAAAAGGTGGCGTCCACTATCATAATCACAAGATGGTGTTGAAAGTGAAGACTACACAGAAAAATGATGTGTTCCCTTGTCTCAATTACAAGATGGTAACGTCATTATCCTTTAGAATTAGATTATACTGAAGGTAGAGGCGCCGTGTATCTACAAAATAATGTCGAAATCACGCCGGGACTCTACCGGAAGTGGCAACGTTTCTCTAAACTTTAAGGAGAGAAGAGTCGACGATGGCAAATCAGAAAATCCTTGAAAAGCATTTTTCATGGGAAAGTTCGTCTCACGAAAAAAAACATAAGGTAAATATATGCGAAAGAAGATGAACAACGAGAGAATGCTTAAAGTCAATGAAAAACAACGAACAAATAGCCAAAGAACAACGAAATAACAGCCAAGAAATGTGAATATTAGAATAATATTACCCTGTAGTAAGTTGATATTTTAACTACGATAAGCAGTGTCGGTACGGACGTACAGTAGTCGGTTATCTCTTTCCTTACACCTTACTTCCATTCAAGGTCAATCCAAGGTCAAAGTAGAGAGGTCGGACCGCGCGCAGGTGAAGTACGAGGCAGGCGGAAGTGATGACGTCAGCTGATCCACCCTGCCTGCGTCTCCTTGTCCTTAACAAGTTGACCCCAGTCTGACCCGGCCATTGTCTGAGGCAATCAATATAATGAAGTCATTTGCCCTATGACCTCCCCCTACAGGGGTGGCACCTCTTCCCTCCCAGACCAGATATCCCTCCTCCTAGTGACAGGCCTGGCACTTGACATTATTAGGGACCTGCCACGCTTTGCCATAAACAGATAAATTGTACAGGATATTTTTCCCCCCACACACTCATCATTCTGTCACTTTATGTAACTTGCTGACAAAACCCATGACCCTTCAGGCTTTTACGCCCTTAATGCACGAGTCATAAAGGCAAGCATGAACTCCGCATGCTTCCCAGATGGGCATTGTAAACGCTTCTGCGCTTCACCTTGCACAGGATGTAAGGGGGTGCCCAATAAACTAGCCCCCTCGTGGGCAATCTGTAATCTGTAAGTAGAAAAAGAGTTAAGTGATGAGTTTGATGAAAACCTAGGAGAGTGTATAAGCCCTGACAAAAATGCAGGTAAAGCAATATATTTAGTCATAGGGAGAGAGGGAGCGGGCCAGCCAGCTATAGTTCAGGTGACGTCACTGCGCAGAGGGAGCGTAAACTAGATCGCTGTCCATCATACCTGTCTACATTGACCCTCACGGCCTACTCCACCGCCGCCTGGCACCGCTGCTGGCGTCCACACCGAGCCTGCATGTCTAATGGCAAGATAGCCGACATATTAAGATTGTATCCACTTTTTTGCACTTAGTAACTATATCAGTTCTCATGTACAGAACCAAATACACAATGTGTTTGAATACTTCTCACCGAGCCTGCCCCGTGCCCGGCTGCCCCCGTCCACCCACCGCGTGCTCAATGACCCGAGGACACCACCCCCGGCCCCCCGTCCCCCACCGGTATGCAGGCACCTGGGGCCCATCCACCCCAGTTCTCCATATCAATTGACCACCATGCGGACATGCTAGTGGACTACGTATCTACGCCAAGAAGGACGTCCCCTACCAACCTCTCGACGTCCCCCTTTAAGCCGACACTACCGACGTACACGCCATCACAATCACACTAAAAGGTATGTCCCTCAATATTGTCAATGCCTATGGCTATGGTCTGGCACTTGACATTATTAGGGACCTGCCACGCTTTGCCATAAACAGATAAATTGTACCGGGAATTTTCCCCTCACACACTCATCATTCTGTCACTTTATGTAACTTGCTGACAAAACCCATGACCCTTCAGGCTTTTACGCCCTTAATGCATGAGTCATAGAGGCAAGCATGAACTCTGCATGTTTCCCAGATGGGCGCTGTAAACGCTTCTGTGCTTCACCTTGCACAGGATGTAAGGGGGTGCCCAATAAACTAGCCCCCTCCGGGCCAATCTAAAAAAAAATCCAACTAGATATTTAGCCAACGACGCTATCAGTATATACTGATATTAATTAGCAAGCAACTGTCCATTTTTAAGCTAGTAATAATAATTAACGGGTATTAATTAACAAGCAATTCTCCACTGTGAAATAATTTATATATTTATTACTTCTAAGCTAATCATTCGCGGGTACTAATTCACGAACAACTCTCCACGCTGTGATGAACTGTCAATAATCTTATCTCTAGAATAATAAACAAATCACAAGTAACAAATCAGACTGTATATTCGCACGACTCTTCCAACCCAGATAATTGGCGATAACTAAAAAATCTGATGCTCTCTCTCGTCCTGATGGAAAAAAAATTATTTATTCAGGTGTGTAGGAGGAAGTACCTTTGTAAGTATACAGATGTGCGTTTATTTTACTTGCAAAAGATAAAGTATTCCTAAAACGAACCACAACAGAGCAAGTATAATACATATGTAAACATACACTCTGGTAGGGGTGGCAGGCGGGACATCCGAGCCAGGGGGGTCTGTTACTGCTCCAAGTGGCCAATGTAAATGTAAATACCACGAACAGGATATGCGAAACAGTTTACTTTTCAGGTGACACAAACGAAAAAATTCTATTCTAACCGAGTAAAAACTACCATATCATTGTTAGGTTAGTTTTCGTTCGCATGTCATAAAACAGAATAATAGTGTTGATGACTTTGCTATCCTGTTTCTGTTTATTTTTTAACATTTGTCATCATGCTGACATTCCCGACGTTCATATTAATCTGGCAGTTACAAATGACGTAACTAACACTTTGAGAGCATGAATTTTGTACGTGTTTGTGTTGCTATTTATATTTACCATTATGGATATGCTATACCTGCCATGCTTACGTACTGTACATACTGAACCAAAATGAAGTTGTTTGATGATTTCACTTAGTATCTATCTCTGTCAGTCGTATCTATTATTCTCCCGCCTTTGAAACTTCCGCTGGTTGAGTAGGCCACGCGTCCACTCTGCGTCCGCTCGAGTCTTATACATACAATCGATCTTTCAAACAAACGAAAAAAGTTGAAAACAAATGGCTGCATACGAGCGAGGTGGCCACCATGATGCCTTTGTCAGTGCTTTGACCTTGACCTTGTATAGCGTGTTTGCAGCCGTTAGTTTCCAAACAATGCAGCAGCATAAGATAAAAAGAAAGACACAGATATACATTTCATAAAATCATCATACAAGTTCACATTGCTTCATTGTATACATAGACAGTGCAGGTATACATTAAGCAATGGCACACAGTAAGTCGATTCAATCATGGATCGCCCAAGGAAGATGTTAAAAGCTTGTTTTCATTGAGGTGTTTATGTTGGATAGGGTTGCTAATTAAATTACGGAAATTCTACGAACGAAATCGTATAATTGTGACTATATAATTAGACTGTATATGACAAGCACGACATTGTATTTAAGTTATTCAAGACTGGTGGGTCTTTTTTACAGGAAAGCATTCATAGATTAACAAAAACTTCAAGAGAAATACTTGAAATGTACAGAAAAAGAAAAAAATGAGATACTTTGGTCATATAATTACGGATGAGGGAATAATAATTAATATTAATGAGCAAAGTTGAGGGTAGGAGAGCCAGGGAAGGACAGAGACTGGGGTGGATGAATGAAATTAAAACTAGGTGCCCAGTGAGATACAAAACATTAAAGGATTGGTAAAAAAAAGCTCAAACTTTTAGAGTGGAGCCGAGGATTGTGATCGTCAACCCCCAGATATTAGGCTGGCACCTTGATAGATTCATTCATAGATTAGTAATACAAAACAAAATAACTTTCTTCTCTTGTTGTAACTTCATCGTTTATGTAATCTGCAGCTGTTATTGTTCCAAATTATTTGTGCTCTGTTTAAGAATCTTTCATTGAAAAGCGGTGTTGATATTTACAAAATCACATGTCAAACTGGACAGACAAACACGTACATGTACACAAAAACTCCAAAACCTTCCAAAATACCAAACAAAAACATATACAACTTCACTCACACATGCACAAAATACTTCTAAAATGCCAAAGAAAAACACACAAGTCACTTACACATACAAAAATACAAAATCCTCCTAAATTAACAAACAAAAACACAAAATCTTCAAAAAAGAACTCGCTCACACGTGTATAAACGACCTCTCATTTTTGTGTGTTGTGTGTACGCCCTCGACAGGCCTGGCACTTGACATTATTAGGGACCTGCCACACTTTGCCATAAACAGATAAATTGTACCGGGAATTTCCCCCCCACACACTCATCATTCTGTCACTTTATGTAACTTGCTGACAAAACCCATGACCCTTCAGGCTTTTACGCCCTTAATGCACGAGTCATAAAGGCAAGCATGAACTCCGCATGCTTCCCAGTTGGGCGCTGTAAACGCTTCTGCGCTTCACCTTGCACAGGATGTAAGGGGGTGCCCAATAAACTAGCCCCCTCGGGGGCAATCTAAAAAAATCTAAATAATAAACGTCACTCACCCCTCTCATAAATTGGTCTATCTTAGATTATTGGATTTCTATGTGTGTTTGTGTGCGAGACGACCAGAGGAAGACAATTAAGAGTCATGGTCAAGTATCTCATTGATAAAACACGCGGGGGGAAGTAATCTTATCCACTAAGCTGAGATATAACACAGATACATCTATGTGTGAAACTGTAGTAGTATAAGAGAAAACACCATAGAAACTGAGAGAAGGAGAGAGACATTGAGAAAGAGAAAACGAAGGAGAACAAGAGAAGCATGTAGAGAACGTTAAGTGTCAGACGACAACGAACGACCTATAATAATAATGACCAAAATATTAAGAAAAATACTCACACACACACACACACACACACACACACACACACACTCGCGCGCGATTATATGATCTATTTCTTTGTGTATGATCCTGTGTCCTGCGTGGCAATGAGAAGTGATACCACCCTCAGTGTGAAGACCTGACTGAATTACTGAGAATAGGCAAACTGTCCTCCAAGCTCTGTCAATAAATTTGTTAACCGTTAACCGAACATCAAAAATTTTTCAAGTAAACTTAACATTGTTGGTACAGACATTGACACCGGACGCTAAGCAGATTGAGCCAGTTGTGTCATGATAACGTAATTGGTTCTGGTGTCAGATGAACACGTCTCTTGAAATGTCAGAAGAGAGAGAGAAATTTCTTAAAATTTTCTTATATATACTGTATATACATCACGTATGGGTTCTTCCAAGTGAGAGGGAGAAAGAGAGAGAGAGAGAGAGAGAGAGAGAGAGACTTATCTGATCATCAAGGAGGCGATCGGGTTCAGCGTGAGTAGGAGCGTTCAGCACTATTGTTTATAGAGCGCTTATGAATGAACCCTCTTGACATACTGATGGGCAACTCGCTGAGTACTCAACTTCACACTGTTTGGAACCACCCGCTGTGGATCTCTCTCCGAGATCTTAATAGTTTAACAGTATATTTACCGTCTACATCACAGCACTCCAGATGGTCGAAAAGTGAATGAACGACAATAGATCTGCACAGATTAACTTCTTGAAAACGGTAGTGCATAAAATATAGTTGCGTCTCCTCTTCCTTCACTTTAAACAGAACAACGAAAAAAACGTTGAATCCTTGTAGCTAACTCAACTGTGTGTGGTGGTTGTGAAAGTGGTGAGTACTTGTGTGCTTGCACGTTCATGGGTCTTATATTAATCGTGTGTATACATTATATAATTATGTCTTTCTATATTATACTGTTGATTTACGTTTGTAGTGCCTGAATTGTAACCGACTTCACATTTATAAATCCGCCGATAATCACGTACAGTTAACAGAGCAGTCATTTCTTCATTAAACATACCTTACATCATGGAACCTCTGATCACCGTTTAAACAAACTCGTCATATTCTGTAAAATTCACTTACAACTGGTGAATTTTCAACAGAATGTTTATTTCATAATAGCAGTCGACTGAACTGCACAGATGGCAGTACATTATGAGAAACGCACCATGAAAAGGTGTAATGCTTATGAAAAACATGTTTCGTTCGATTAAATTCCTGAGTCGTTTTTCGTAGATTAATATCATTGTTGCATTACTGTAATGCCATAACCGAAACGTTAGCAATTAAATGAACAGTATTACACACACACACACAAATACATACACACACACACACACACACACACACACACACACACACATATATATATATATATATATATATATATATATATATATATATATATATATATATATATATATATATATATATATATATATATGATAAAATGGAAACAACAGAGCACCTTAGCTTTCGTCTTTATTCAAGACGTCTTGAATAAAGACGAAAGCTAGGTCCACGTTTTCATTGTGGATCTACATAAAATATACTGTGTATATATATATATATATATATATATATATATATATATATATATATATATATATATATATATATATATATATATATATATATATATATATATATATATATATATATATATATATATATATATATATGTGTGTGTGTGTGTGTGTGTGGGTAAATACCACTTTTATATTGTGTATATAAAAGAAAACATGATCGTATAATCCTCAAGTGTCAACCTTAACATATTATCCAGGGTCTCGTAGCCTACGCAAGCATTATGAATATGAGTATTCTTGAATGTGATCTTATATGCGTGAGCATCATAATTATCCAGGTTGTTGATGGTTTAATTCGTCATGTATGGGATGAGAGCAGTGTGGACAGGTCGTGTGTGTCAGCCTCACTCACTATCTTACCCTCGCTGTCTGTATCGACTCCTCTCTAACAGGCTTGCCAACAACACCACCTTTATCCCTATCCTACTTCAATTTGCAAAACACAAAGTAGTTATCATTGCCATCATAAAAAGTGTTTTTACAAGATATATTATATCAGAAAATTAAACATATACTTAAATAACCAAAAGACCTCCTTAATAACCGTAAATGTCAACTTGCAAGAAATTGATACTCAAAGGGGAATTTCCCATATTCTATTATTATTTTTACAAAAGTCGCATTTTTTCATGGTCCTGTAATGATTAATTATTTTAAAGAGGATAATACAAGGTTTGAGGACATGTTAGAGGAGAGAGAGTGTTTAGTGAGCGGGGAGCAGCAGCAGTGTTAGGTTGGCACGCGTGGTCAGCTCGCCATATTTCCCTGGTGCACCCCACCCAAGTGTCGAGTTATCGCTTGAATGGCTGAGGGTCAACAGTGGCCCGAGGTGGTCATAAACTGTCAAACTGGAACTAATGGAATTAGAAAACATTGTAGCCAACACAGTGTACTTGAAAGCAAGGGAAGGTAAGGTGGAATAAGGAGAGGGTAGCAATGGTACCAACGGGGGCTTGTGGTGGTATGTTAACGTCCGCTGCAGGATCATGTCTCAACCTCTCGCTCTAATACAAATAAATCAAAGCTTCACCACACCTGTTTCATCTCTTGAGGGCGGTCTGCAGTGTTAATATCAGTCTTAGGATGTAACAGCGTTGATAACACGAGAAAACGTTGTGTCAATTAAGGTATACTAGGAGGTGAGGGCAGCGGAAATTGTCTAGGATTGGCGGACAGCTTCTCCCCAGGGTCGTCACTAGCTTGTTACGGGCCCCAAGGGTGGGTTTCAGTCGTAACGGCCCACTTGCAATTGCCGTGGTGCTGTTATGGTGATGGGCAACTGGTGGGCATAACGTGATGGGGTTATGTTAATATGGTGATGGGAGATAAACTTTTGGTGTTATTTTGACACTGGTGTGGAGGTTTTAGTCCCCAGTAAAAAAAAAATAATAAACGTGTTAATTTAAAGATAAATAATCTGCCAACATAGTAGTAGTTACATGAGACTCGGTACAGTATAGCAATCAACAGTCTTAATTTCATGTGAACAGCAGTAGCACTTTGACTGTGATACATATTTTATATTTTACAAACCACTTGTTAGACAGATCTGCTTAATGTTCTGCCCAACTAATTCATTTATACTTTTTTTTTGTCACGAAGATTATAAACCTACTTCTTTCACCTGTTAATTAAAATACATACCGGTAATGCTAACTGAGTAGTAGAGTATTTATTCATCAGGTAAAGTATGCTGAGGTGTTTAATTTTCATGTAATCTTTTCAGTTAGTTGAAATAATATGCCCCAAACTAGTTAAAGCTTTTGAAAACTTTGAGTGGAAGCTGCAGTCATAAATAATTTATTACTGATCATACCAAATATTGAGAAGGCCTAAGAAAGATCAAGAATTAATTGATTCTAACTTAACCTAACTTGGTTTTTAATCCCTTTTGGTTAGGGTAAACTGATTCTTAGTTCTTCTTGGTAGTTATTATGACCCATTATTATCAATTAATTTTGGTTTAGATCGTGTAAGGGAGGTTATTCTTCATGTAATCCCATAATTTCTGTTTATGAAAATCAGCAGTACAGTACACATGCATTATTGAGATTAGGTTTTCCTCAGTTTCATGCTGTGAATGTAAAATGTTGACAAACCATTTAGGTCTTGACTTATTCATAAGTATAAACTGTCTGATATCAGTAACTAGACCTACAACTTCTGATAACTAGACCCTACAACTTCTGATAACTATACCTACAACTTCTGATGACTAGACCTACAACTTCTGATAACTAGACCTACTACTTCTGATGACTAGACCTACAACTTCTGATAACTAGACCTACTACTTCTGATAACTAGACCTACAACTTCTGATAACTATACCTACAACTTCTGATGACTAGACCTACAACTTCTGATAACTATACCTACAACTTCTGATGACTAGACCTACAACTTCTGATAACTAGACCTACTACTTCTGATAACTATACCTACAACTTCTGATAACTAGACCTACTACTTCTGATAACTAGACCTACTACTTCTGATTACTAGACCTACAACTTCTGTTAACTAGACCTACTACTTCTGATAACTATACCTACAACTTCTGATAACTAGACCTACTACTTCTGTTAACTAGACCTACAACTTCTGATAACTAGACCTACTACTTCTGATAACTAGACCTACAACTTCTGTTAACTAGACCTACAACTTCTGATAACTAGACCTACAACTTCTGTTAACTAGACCTACAACTTCTGATAACTATACCTACAACTTCTGTTAACTAGACCTACAACTTTTGATAACTAGACCTACTACTTCTGATAACTAGACCTACTACTGATAACTAGACCTACAACTTCTGATAACTAGACCTACTACTTCTGTTAACTAGACCTACTACTTCTGATAACTAGACCTACAACTTCTGTTAACTAGACCTACAACTTCTGATAACTAGACCTACTACTTCTGATAACTAGACCTACAACTTCTGATAACTAGACCTACTACTTCTGTTAACTAGACCTACTACTTCTGATAACTAGACCTACAACTTCTGTTAACTAGACCTACAACTTCTGATAACTAGACCCTACTACTTCTGATAACTATACCTACAACTTCTGTTAACTAGACCTACAACTTCTGATAACTAGACCTACAACTTCTGATAACTAGACCTACTACTTCTGATAACTAGACCTACTACTTCTGATAACTATACCTACAACTTCTGTTAACTAGACCTACAACTTCTGATAACTAGACCCTACTACTTCTGATAACTATACCTACAACTTCTGTTAACTAGACCTACAACTTCTGATAACTAGACCTACAACTTCTGATAACTAGACCTACTACTTCTGATAACTAGACCTACTACTTCTGATAACTAGACCTACAACTTCTGATAACTAGACCTACTACTTCTGATAACTAGACCTACTACTTCTGATAACTATACCTACAACTTCTGTTAACTAGACCTACAACTTCTGATAACTAGACCCTACTACTTCTGATAACTAGACCTACAACTTCTGTTAACTAAACCTACAACTTCTGATAACTAGACCCTACTACTTCTGATAACTATACCTACAACTTCTGTTAACTAGACCTACAACTTCTGATAACTAGACCTACAACTTCTGATAACTAGACCTACAACTTCTGATAACTAGACCTACTACTTCTGATAACTAGACCTACAACTTCTGATAACTAGACCTACTACTTCTGATAACTAGACCTACTACTTCTGATAACTAGACCTACTACTTCTGATAACTAGACCTACAACTTCTGATGACTAGACCTACTACTTCTGATAACTAGACCTACAACTTCTGATAACTAGACCTACAACTTCTGATGACTAGACCTACTACTTCTGATAACTAGACCTACTACTTCTGATAACTAGACCTACTGCTTCTGTTAACTCGACCTACAACTTCTGATGACTAGACCTACAACTTTTGATAACTAGACCTACAACTTTTGATAACTAGACCTACAACTTCTGATAACTAGACCTACTACTGTTGATAACTAGACCTACTACTTCTGTTAACTCGACCTACAACTTCTGATAACTAGACCTACTACTTCTGATAACTAGACCTACAACTTTTGATAACTAGACCTACTACTTCTGTTAACTCGACCTACAACTTCTGATAATTAGACCTACTGCTTCTGATAACTAGACCTACTACTGTTGATAACTAGACCTACTACTGTTGATAACTAGACCTACTGCTTCTTATAACTAGACCTACTACTTTTGATAACTAGACCTACTACTTCTGTTAACACGACCTACAACTTCTGATAACTAGACCTACAACTTCTGATAACTAGACCCTACAACTTTTGATAACTAGACCTACTACTTTTGATAACTAGACCTACTACTACTGATAACTAGACCTACAGTTTTTTATAACTAGACCTACTACTTCTGATAACTAGACCTACTACTTTTGATAACTATACCTACAACTTCTGATAACTAGACCTACTACTTTTGATAATAAGACCTACTACTACTGATAACTAGACCTACAGTTTTTTATAACTAGACCTACTACTTTTGATAATTATGGTGTACTGTACTTCCTCTTTACCTGAGTCTGTTTTCCCTTATGCTTGTGGTACCAGAACATGTTATTCATATTCAACTTGTAATCTACTCCTACAAGGGTCCGGGTGTTCTGTCAAAATAGGAATTTTCATCAGTTGAACGGTTTCATAAATCATAGTCACTAACACTTAGGTAATTTTGGCTCTTAATACTTGTAATTTGGTTAATGACCCATTTCACCCACCCACCTGAAGGAAATCGTCTGGTATTAGACAAATAAAATATTACAATTGGCATCCCATAGTGAAGGAATTAGTGGAGATTAATTTTAACCCCTTGTGTATAGGGGTGTGTCTGTTGAATAAAGTCATCTAGTCTTTGCCTTGATAGTCTCTAACAACAGTTTGTGACGGATAGCAAACTGAGAACACCATAGTGAAGAGAGAAGATGAAAGGGGATATAGTTATGATGACAACTAGGAGAAAAGAAATAACAAAGTAATGATATGCATATTACTGAACAATACATGTACAATATTGATCTACTGTAATCTTCAGGAAATTGTTTCCGATTTCAGAATCTCTGTTCAAACTCTATATACAGTTATAGTGTGCTCCACATTAGTCAATGTAAGACACATGAATTGCCAAAATTTCTTGCATGAGTTTCACAACAAAATCTCATCAATTGAAAGTGTTCAATGCCCCTAAAGGACACTTCACAGGGTTTTCCACTCTTAGTATTCATTCATACTAAAGGTTATAGCTTTTATTGTATTAATTTTGGATGTATAGTTGACATCATTGTTAAGTACTGGTAAGAAAATTTCTGGCTGATGGAGACATCTGGCTTCTCCTCGAGGTACAGTAGTGTGTACTGTAGTATTGTTTTCATGAATGAATCACTCTGATTCATTAGGTTAGTTTACTTTTATCCTCTTCACCACTGATCGGCTCGTTAGCCACTTGGGCGATCGGATTCATCCGTGAAAAAATACTACCTTCTTCCCTGAAGACATGCCAGATGTCTCCATCAGCCACAAATTTTCTCACTTTTTATGAAGCCAACTGTGCAACTTGGAGGGTTATAGCATTCCTTATGTCTGTACACTCGAAGCTTGCAACTGAGGCCTAGAATCAGTTTGTAGTAAGGCAGCTGATTGGTTGGTGGTAGGAAATGAGAAGAATCACTACAGTTCTTCACTTCTTTATTCATCTATTGTATTTATATTATGATATTTTAAGGGATAATAACCTTCCTGTGTTGGTCTCTGATAATTTGCTTACTTGGGGGTGCAGAAATTAAGCCATGATCACATGAGCACTTTCATGAGCAATTTCTTGCTGGAAAGTT